CAGAAACAAAATTATTCTTAACATTAGTCTTAGCATTAACATTAGCATTAACTTTACGATGTTTCTGACAACGGCCCCCAGGATTAGGGGTTAGGGGGTGAGGATAATGATGGTGTATGTATCAGAGTCCAGAAGTAGGATAAGCCTACGTTTATGTAGTTATATCTAACTACCACCTGGTCCTGCATCTGTGTAGGCATTTCTTCAAAGAAATCTTACCTTCTCACCTACATGTGGTTCTATGCCTACAATCACGTGCAAAGCAAACATACACAATAACACTAACAGTGATCACAGATCTCACTTTAATTAATATGCCAGTGTTTATATATGAAGATATTGCATTATAATTATGGCTGCAACACACAAGGAAAAACACATTCAACACATTGAAGACCACATGTAGACACATAGGCATCTTAAAATAAAATTCACCACTTGCCAAAAGCAGAATGCAATGCAACTGGAGCTCGCATTAAATTATCAATCATTAATAAAATAATCAAGCAGCCATGCAATCAGGTTTGACTTTTATTCCTGTGAGAACCAGCCCACATTAACATACCCTCAACGTATGGTTTTATTATATGAAGATATTGCATTATAATNGAGAGAGAGAGAGAGAGAGAAGCGGCGATGGGGAGGGGGAAGAGAAAGAGAGAAAGGGAGACAGGAGAGAGAGAGGGGGAGAAGAGAGAAGAGAGAGAGCGGTAGAGACTAGAGAATGAGCCTTCGTTCCCTCCCATACGGCCCCCCGTACGATCTCCATGCTCCCTTTGAACTTATATATATATATGTATATAATATATAAATATATATATATATATATATAGAGAGATGTATATATATATATGTACGTGAGGGGTGAGAGGTGAGGGTGCCGGCTATAGTCGTGGCGTTGCGCGGCGAGCGAGGGAGTGCGTGCGTGAGGGGTGAGAGGTGAGATAAGAGAATGCGGTGCGGGGAAGTTATGCGATTGCGCAGGGCGTAGGAACAAAGCGATACCACGAAGTGGGCGCGAAAGTGAACCAGTGTGCGTGTGGGAGAGCGGTTGATTGAGAGCGAGCGTTGACGGAGGAACGGTGAATAGAAGCGAATGATTCAATTGATTGTGTAGAAGCCGAACGCGCAGGAGTAGGAGCAGTGCCAGTGTTACCGTTAGGTAATTATTTAATTTAGTAGTTCCACACCCGCCCACGGCCAAGCGCGCGAGCAACAACATGAATAAGATACTCTCTATTCATGTTTGTTTGTGCGAGACCGATGGCGAGCGTGGAGCGGTGTACTTGTGTGTATGCACAGATGTAGCTACTAAAGAGTACGGATGAATATGCTAGAGGGACGCGACGTAGTCATTATAGACTATCTTAACACGAGAGCTAGTCAAATGGAAACGCCGAGGCTGTAGTACTAGAGCTAGTTGCAGAGTAGAGGCATTTGCCGGCATTTTACAGGTGATTCTATAGTGGCGAAATAGAAAGTAGAAGCAAAGTTTTTTGCGGTAGTAAATATGAAACTTGGTCGAATTGAATTTGTCAGTTTCGAGTATAAAGATACCGGGAGCGGGCGCAGAAAAACTCAGATTCGGAAGGGACTGTCGGCGACAGGCGCGCGTCGCACGCAGCTGCCTACACGGAAGGAAGAAAGAGGCATGCGTTACAGTTCACGCTACACGAAGACCTCGTGTGACAATACATCGCTACACGCTGTGTGCACGTACACCCTGCGTATGCGTGCAGTATTACACGCGTGCGCGCACGTACAACGCACGAGTGCGCGGCACAAACAAATACAAACGGCGTGGCGTGCGATGTTAAATCGCATGCGGCCGCCACGTATCACCGTGCGGCACACACACGTGCGTGCAACGACACAACGCTGCGTGCGGCATATACACCTGGGAGGTGAAAGATACGCGAGGCGCACGTAAGCAACGTCAAACGACGCTCACAGTACACGCGCAACGAGATACGCCAGCATGGCGAGCGCAGTACGAACACGTGGCGTGCGTGTACGACGCGTGCGTTCACGTACACGCGTGCGTTCATCGGTCACGAGGACGACATAACAGTGCGACGTATACCGTGCGGCGTGTACATACACGGCGATAGGGGAAAAACTGGATGACGACGCACCGGTACACTATAGCTTAGTATGCTAGCACATGGACACGCACGCGTACAGACATGTCCGAATAACTGTGGAAAGAGGCAAGATACAGCGATCACGGGTGCATCTGGGGCCTGTAACCAAAGGAGTAGATAATAGAGACAGTGTGATAATTATCTACTAGGCTTGGTTGTCCGCAGTGGCAGGTTATCGCCCGCCAGGGACCGCGTGGTGAATGTAGTACAGGCCTAGTCGGTAGCCCCAAATCGATAGTAAGCGCGCGACAGATAGGCACATAGGAGCTGGCTCTCACGGTGCTTGGAGAAACCACAGTGCTCTGCGTGGGCAAACCTCGTGACACAGATCATGCTATCTATCTAATTTACACTATATCTTATATATTGACTTAGCGCAAGTCATGGCGGGATATCAAAGAGTTACCTACGGGAGCGACGATGCGATTATCCGCTCTAGAAAATGCCGGCTCTGGTTAAGAAGAAAATCAAAACAAAGTTGCAAGCGATGACGCGCCAAAAGAAAAATCGCTACACACGTGGCGCAGCCCGCTGCATTAAATTGAGAAATGTACGCCAGACAAGTACCGCCTACGTAGCATGGCGAGCGCTTATCATACGTTATCAAAGACGCTAATCATATCCACCCCGGTATGAGTGCTAACAAACGGAAACAGGGGAAATCATAGCATCCTATTTCAGTCGACGACAATGATTATTCACGTAATCTATTGGCCGGTGCGAAGTCTCAGAATAATGTTTACATGGTATATGGCACTAAGTAGAATCGTTTGCTCACATCTACGAACACTAGACCGAAAACGCTGTCAGATGAAATACGTCGATCTGACAAGGTGGCTGAGATCTTGAGGCATACCGCGTAAACGCTCCCCTCCCAGTATGCCACTCACAGCGTCAATCCGCCTGGCAGTCGCCCAGTTTTCAGTACCCGGCGCTAAACGCCTACATAAGCCGTTGCCTATCGATGAGATTCGAGGTATTTCCAGCCATACATTTTATGAAATGCATGTTTTTCGGCTGCTAGGTGCAGGGTGCTAAGGTGACTACGTTCGGGGCGAACTCGCTAATGCCCTGATCTCAACAGACCGACCATCTATCGTTTCCTTGAGCACGAGACTAATGTTTGCCGTCATGAGATGGAGAGCCGGCAATGTTTATTTTTAA